TAAACGCCTGAGCTAGAAAACGTCCATGTCGTGAGTCTAAGGCAAATACTTTAGCAAAGAGCCAAAGCATCTGGGCCCCTATTCCATTCCGTAAATATGGACCGTGCAGTGAACGTAAGGCCTCGGCATCTGCACATTTGAGGGGTGCAGTGTCCCTGCCAACAGGGACATCCTGTGCCTCTGTTTTTGGTTTTTGGGGTTTTTTTATGGTTGTAGCCCCGGCTGTATGTTGTATTTTGACTCAGCACAATGAGCTGCAGTCACAGGCTGCACCAAATTGTCCCCCGTAGCTGGCTTGGTACGACTGGCAGAGTCTTGCTGACTTGCTGACCAGCATGTGGCCAGGCGACAGTGACCAGGCATGAAGACGGCAGGGTGTTGGGGTCTGAGGGAACCAGGCAGGACGTTGAGCCCACAGTCTTCATTTTCCCAGGGGAGGAAGTGGCCTCTGTGACTGACATGCTGACACCTGTCTCCTTTTGGTCTCTGCGTCTGCTGTTCCCAGTCGAGCCTGGTCCTGTGCTCAGAGCCCCTGCAGCTGAGCTTGTCCTCCCGTTTCCCTCCGTTAAGGGACCTCTTACAGCAGGGACCCTGCCGTGCTCTTTCCTGGGGGCCGCCAGCGCGGTACCTGCAAACGTTGGCACCCGGGAGCAGCAGACCCTCAGCCTGCCCAAGGAGCAGGTCGTGGTCGGCTCACCCCGTCCCCTGGTATCCTGAGCGCAGGACACAGAACAAGAGACCCTCCCAGGTGAACCCTGGCTCTCTGTGACCCTTGACTTGCCTAATACCTCTGTGTCGCAGCTTTGCCATCTGAAACGAGGGCACTGCTTACACCTAACTCATCAGGTTGTCGAGAGGATTAAACAGGCTCACGGCAAGTTTAGAGCAGCCCGTCTCCTGAGCACCCGGACTCAGGAGAGTGAGATGCTTTCTTCCTTTTAGAATTTAATGTATGTCGAAATCATCGTTGGCCATGTCAGAGCAAAATCTCCCCAGGTTGCAGGTTGGGGCCCGGAAGGGAATGCGGGCGGGCAGGCGGGTGGGCGGGCAGAGGGGCCTTCCCCAGAGCTTTAGGCATCCTTGTAACAAAACTGCGGTTGAGCTGCTCAGAAAGACAATGGTTTCTGGTGTAACTGGTGCCTTGATTGCTCAGACTTGGAGGCCTTTTATTCTTTTCCTTTTTTTTTTTTTTGGCTTTTTTTCCCCAGTATAGTCAATTTATAACGCTGTGTTAGCGTCAGGTGTACAGCAGAGTGATTCAGTTGTACATATATATTATTTTTCCTACTTTCTTTTATAGGTTATTGCAAGCCATTGAATATACAGTAGGACCTTGTTGTTTATCTCAGAAGCTTTCTTAGGAGTTAATATATTTTAACTCAAAAACGCCCCACAATGATTTGAAAAATCCATTTTTGAAAATTAGTTCAGCAAGCAATGAGAGTAAGTCATGTAGGCCATAAAATACAGTAAGAAATTAATGAGTTTAAAAGGCACGTATGTCCTCACCTTGTTGTATAGTTAGGTCACGTGGAAGCAATTGAAAATTTTAAGTATCTACTGTCTTAACATCACAGAAAACATCTGGGTTTACCTGAAAATGGAGGAAAATTTTTTTTACCCAATTTCCTTAATATTACAGCTAACATATCAAATTTTGCACAGAAAACTAAAATTGGTGATGCACTTATTTTTCGAAAACTGACCTTTAATAATATTGCACAGTGATCAATATTTGAATTTTTAGTTTACAGGAAACTCTTATTTATCTGCTGAAGCAAAAGATCTTATTGCCAGGAATTGTTGTAACAGATTTACAAAAGAAAGGAAGTGCTGGTGTAAGAACTTTTGGAAAAAGCTCTTTCAGTAACTTCCTCTTGTTCTTGCTACGCAGCCTGGTTTTCTTCAATCGTCCCTCCTGTGTGCTGGAAAATCCTTTGTTCCATGACAGCCTGTGAGATTTCACGCCACAGATTAACTGACGCGTCCTTTCACTCCACACGGCTCTATCCACACCCTGTAGGTTGGGCTCCTCTCACAATAGCTACTGTTTTCTCAGATCCGAAAATCTCTGGTGTTGCAACGTTGTGTATATAATTAGAACCCTGAGAGGTTAGAAGTGCGTTTATGCTTGATGACCGGGACGTGCCCACGAGCCGTCAGCCTCTCCCAGGTGGGCGTATGAGCAGATCCTTCCCTAGTCCTGAATGATGGTTTGTTTTTTAAATGATGAATTCATCCTCTGGTATATTTTTTACCCTCAACCAGATGTACAATGTTTTGTAGCAATCTCAGCCCTTGGCAGCGACATTGGAGGGGACCAGGACGCTGAGTTTGTGCTCCGGACACGTGACAACTCAGCCTGTCCCATCTACCTCCAGTTTCCAAGCAGTTCCAGGTTCTGTTCTGCCTCTTCAAGTGCGAGTTTATCTGAGACTGTAAAATTGTCGAAGGTTTCCGTTCAGGTGGCCGAGAGTCACAGCTGAGGGGGAAGCGCAGCGTCAGTGCCGAAGGCTGAAGGGCGGGAGTCGCTTAGAGCCGCTTACAAGGCGTTTCTTGTCCCTCTGGACGAGACTGGGCGATGAATCGGGGAGGTTTCTGCAGGGCTGGGCTCTGAGGCCCGGTCAGCCTCCCTGCTCTCATCTGTAGCCTGAAGGCAGCAGCGCTGCGTCACTGGGCCGTGGTGAACACAGACGTCACGGCAGAGCCCCAGGTCCACAGCCCGCTAAGCCGTGGCGAGCCTCTCGCCGCTGGGAGAAGAGCTGTGGTCAGATGAGAGTTCTGGGACACAGTGTTAGGATGAAGAATTTCGGGTGACAGGACCATGGCAGTCACCTGTTTGAAGAAAGACCGTTGCAGAAATCACCCGACACATCGGCCTTTTTTGGATAATTTTAAAAGCACTCTTGGTTTTGTAATACCCGACCAGCACCCCCCCCCCGTCGTCCCCGCCTCCTCCAGATGGGCTGCGCTTTCTCTGGGTACCCCGAGGCGGTGCTTCTGGGCTGTAAAGACTCTGAAGCTATCTGGGAGCCCGTTCTCCAAAACTGACACGTCACGAAGTCTGGCTGCCTTCCCCGTGTTTGTTCCGTTTGTAGCCTGGGAGGTAGTGGAAGACAGTGGGAAGGTTCTAGAAGCAGAATCCTGCCTGTGGGGGCGTCCTCCCAGACCACTGCTTGGCCGGTGCCCTCCCTGGGGCACTGACCTGCCTCCACTCTCCTGCCTCTTTGCCTTTTCCCTCCTCATGGTGTGCTTTGTGTAACTGAAGTCCTTCATTGTCCCTGGGTCCAGTTTAGTGTCATGAAGATCCAAGTGCCTGGGAATAAATCTGACAAAAGGTGTGCATGTCCCTTTAAGAGGTCACTCCACGTGCTCATGAAGATATATCCTATTCTGTTATCTTCTAAAAGCTTTAACGTTCTGCTTTCACAGCTCAGCCAACAGCCCACCTGGCACTGGTTTTTGTTTAGGTTTAAGGCAGGAATCAACCTTATAATTTTTTCCTTACGGGTTCCCAAATATCCCGGAACAACCTCCTGAGAATTTCCTCCCTCCATTCCCAGCTTTGAAGTGCCACATTCATCATAAACATGATGACCATGTGATTTATTATCCGAAATGATTAAATCTTGACAGCAAAAGAATGCATTGCTCATAGTTCCCATAGGGCGAGAGGCATAAGCCAAAGGCTGATCTGAGCCGAGATGATGGTCACTTGTCACAAGGCTCCTGTCGTGTGAGGCTGCTTCTGGACTTTCTGTTCTGTTCTGTTCCTGACTATCTTTGCACCAAACCCACTCTATCTGATTTCTGCAGCCTTAGAATAAGTCTGAATTCAGCTCAGTGTGCCCCTCTAGCTGAGGCTTCTTCAAGACTGCCTTGGGTAGGGGGAGGGTATACTCAGGGGTAGAGCGTGTGCTTAGCATGCACGGGTCCTGGGCTCAATCCCCAGGGCCTCCGTTAAAATCAATCAATCAATCAATCAATCAATCAATCTAATTACCTCCCCCTCCAAAAAGACAAACCAAAAAAAAATTTTTTAATAAAAAAATTTAAAAATTTTTTAACTATTGATGTTACATAGAAATACAAATCGGCTTTGTGTATTGCACGTGTAACCAGCAACATCTTACTTAACACACTTTTAAATACTAATCATTTAGACTTGTTATGAAAATAATGATCTAAAATATTATTTCTTCCTTTCAAATCATTATATATTTTAACGAAGGTAGGATCTTCATTAAATTATTGTGCGAGTGGTGGCAACATACATTCGTGTCTTGTCAAATTGCAGACCATTCTCTCCTTTAATTTCTATTTTTGTTGTTTCATTTTGAGGGCTTGTTTTGGGTGCATATAAATTTAGAATTGTTTTCCTCGTGAGCTGAATCTTTTTATCTCATGAAGTGTCTGTCTTTATCTCTAGAATAAGAGAAACTCCTTTGCCTAATGTTTTTAGCTACACCGACTTTAACGTTTAGCATTTGCGTCACACGTCTCTTCCGTTCTTTCCTTTCTAACTCTGTTTTTATGCTATAGGTGTATTTCCTGTAGACACCAATAGTATTTTGTTTTCAATCCAGCCTAACCACCTTTGTATTTTAACTACATTTAGTCCATTTGCATTTCAAGTAATTACTTACTTACTTGGAGTTTAATTCACCATCTTTCTGTTTGTCACATGTGTTCTGTGTATCTTTTCCTCTCTTATTTCCTTCTTTCGGATTGAGTCATGCATTTGTTGTTATTCTTCTTTTCCTCCTTGGTTTATTGTGGAAGCTACAAACCCTTTTACTGTTCTGCCAGTGGTTAACTTAAGACAGTACAACGTGACCCTTGACTTATCCAAACCTAATGTAATTGTAATTACTAAGCTTTTGTTTTTGTTGTGTGGAGTCACTACCATTGCGGACGTCAAGACTGTCAGGCCAAGAACCCCCTTTTGTAGCGTTGGCTTGTCGGAGGTCAGGGAGAAACAAGAAGAGGACTGAGGTCAGTCTGGTTTGCAGAATCTTAGGACAATTTATTAACCAGCCCACCAGCTTTGTGGGAGCAAGAAAATGCAGCATTTCAAGCCTCATTCCAAGGAGTGCGTTGACAGAGGTTTACACGAATCAAAGAGCTCCCCCACCCATCTCCTACCGCAGCTCGCGTAGCGCAGTCCCGTTGCCATAAAACCCTGTACCAGACGATGGAAGCGACGAGCCTTTATCAGAAACCACGGGAGAAGCTGGTTCACAGTGAGATTGCTGCACGCCCTCTTTGCTTAACCGTCTATCCTACGACATTTTTGTGTCACTTCTTAGTCTCTTTCACGACACCCACTGCTTGACTCCTCATGACCCCACACCAACCACGTACGAGGAAGGATACAGGAGAACAAAAAAGAGAGGGCAGGGCATCGCCAGGTGGCTCTGCCATGATAGCACACAAATCCTGTCATGCTACACAGGGTCCGAGACACTGCCAAGGCCAAGGCAAGTCTGTCTTCGTGACCAGGGCCCTTAGTAGGGCTGCCCTCCTATATTTCAACTGAATATCCTTCAACAGTCAAGGTGTATGTCTATCACGGCTTCCAAAGCCTACCGTAAAAGCCATGACAGTGCGACCGCGTTCCCCACGGCTCTCAGGAGTGTACGGCAGCTTCGTGCATTGCTGCGTCGTCAAGAACCTATACACCTGATTTCTGATTTCTGCTTCTAACTTGATGCAATCAAAAGCGGTCATTGGATTTTTTTAGTATAAAAAAGAAGAACAGATACCCTTGCCAAGTTATAAGCAGACACCAGGGCTGTGCTTACAAAGGAAATTAAAGATTCATTTTCAGATAGTATTTTATGGTGAAGGTAACAAAAGCGGTCATCATTAAAAGAGCAGGTAATGAGTGCGAAGCTCGACCGGTAGCCCACAGTGTCTATGGGGAAGCAAGTCTGCCCAGGAACAGGATGTTACCGGAGGGGTTGTGCCGAATGAAGAAAATGAAAGGATGGTCGGCGATGAAGTTCTCCTCCGGCATCAGCATGGCGTAGGCGACAACGCCCGCGGTGGCGGCTGCCGCCTCTGTGCCCTCCTCATTTACTTCCACGAAGGACTTGTGGACAACTTTTGATACAAAGAGATCTCTGGTTCCCGACATGCCGGACAGATCAGCCTTGCTACAGAAGAGATCCTGCACACCCAGGCGGGCCAGCGGGGCGGTCAGGTCATAGCTCTCCTCCAGCCTGAACCGGGGCAGGTGGACGCTGACCTCAAGGTGCTCCAGACGGTCAGCTTTTGTCCACTTACGCAGCTTTTCCAAAGTCAGCTGTTGCTCAATCTGGAATCAGAATGGGCAAAAAGAGGAGGTGAGCACTGTCCCATAGAAGTGAGTTGATGGAGCGTTTTTTAAATGAATGGACCTGTAGTATCAGACGCTAGTTTCCTTCATGTTTTGTGCCAAAGGAGAATTCCATCTGGAGGTGTGGATCAACCACCCACCCATCCACACACCCACCCAACACCTATCCACTCACTCACCCATCCATCCAACCGCCCACCCACACACCCATCCCCCACCTAGGACTTACTGAGTCCCTGCCACACTGGATCACCGTGACAGTCCACCACGGCCGTTACTACCCTAGCTGGTTGAGTGGTGCAAGGGAAAATTTTAAAGGTTTCTTCTGTTTATTCTATTTATTCTGAACTCCAGTGATCACTGTGGGTATCTGTGAACCTCTTAACATGTTTAGCTCGTTGGTGAAAACAGAAGCAGACCAAGTGCCTTGTCTAAAACGGGAGAGTAGTAGCACATACTGAGAGCACTGTCGTAAGCACTGGACGAGTCCCCCTCAATAAAGCGCTCAGCGCACGGTCGGTGCTGTGCGACGTCACCGCGGCATCACCGCCACCACGGCATCACCGCCACCACTGCTCCCGTGCTGGCTCGGAGCCACGGGCCACTGTGCTGCTGATGCCAGGGTCCCTGTCATGAGGCTCCAGACCTTCTTGTTTACAATCAGGAAGTAATATGGAAACAGCAGGGAAAGAAGGGACACACTGGTTTCAGCACATGCTCTGTACCCGCAGGCGGCTGATGCCAGACCCTCCCCGACAGCAAGTCCAGTCAGTGAGGGGAGGGCACACGACGGCCAGAGACAGTGAAGAACCATCCTCTTCACGCTTTCCCCACCTCCTGGCGCCAGCAAGAGCTGCCACAGCCTTGAACCACAAGCAACAGGCAAGGCCCACGCTGGGGAGTGGGCTCATCTCTCAGCCAGCGGGTCACACGGGGCTGCTCCTCTCAGGTAGCTACCTGACATCTAATTCACAGTCCACCTGAGTTGGAGTGAGAAGGAGCACTATAATGATCAGATTTAATAGCCCATGACGAAGCCACAGGCTGTATCATTTGGGGGTCAATTTTTAAAATTGTTTTAATGAAACAACCCTCATGCACTGCACTTTCCTCCAAAGTTCATCTATGAGAGCGTCCGTGAGCTGCCACTGGCCAGTGGGACACCTGCTTTGTGCCCTGATGTTCCCACCATGCTGCTCACGGACAGCACTGAGCATCTGAACTGGGGCTGCGCGGTTGTCCCTGTCCGTGGGCTCCTGCACAAAGGAGGGCCCGAGACCTGGAGGGACAGTCAGGTGGGCTCACTAAACACAGAACTAGCACCCACACCCCACACCCCCACACACACCCCTACACACACCTACACAGACATGCACACACCCACACATACCCACACACACACCCCTACACAGACATGCACACACACATACCCACACACACCCACACACCTACACAAACACGCACACACATTCACACCCCCCACACACCCCCACACACCTACACAGATATGCACACACACACCTACACAGATATGCACACACACACACATACCCACACACACACACCCCTACACAGACATGCACACACACAGACATGCACACACACCCACACACACACCTACACAAACTGCACACGCACACCCACATCCCCCATAACCCCACCCCCCACACACACACCCCTACGTAAACACCCACACACCCACACAGACACGTGCGCGCGCACACACACACACACACACAGCCGGCGCCTCCGCGTACGCGCACCTTCCGCAGCCCCGTGGACTCGTCCTCGATGTCGTCGGGCAGCAGGATGACCATGCTGAGGTCCCTGCCCTGGTACGGCAGCTCCAGCACCTGGCACTTCAGGTCCTTGATGTAGCCCAAGGGAAGCTTCTTCTTCTGGTACATCATCCTCACTGTCTTGGTGTCTTTCTGAGCGGTGGGAAGACAGACGGCGCGCGTCACCGTCTGCGGCCGCCAGCCCAGAGCAGCTGCGGGCCGCGGCCGCGCCTCACCTTGTTCAGCCGGAACGTGGCGTCGTGCGTGGCCTCCGTCGCGAATTTCTCCTGCCAGTTTCCTTTGAAATAGATGGCGTTCACCAGCACAAGCTTAGTCATGCTGTCCACCACACCTGAAGCCAGCAGCTCTGGAATCTTCCCTAAAAAGATAAAGTTACCTTTTTAAAAATCCACCTATTGGAATTCCAGATTTGACCTGACCTTCGGTTGGCACAGACATGCGATTCCAACGTGCCCTTCTGTTCAGTTTCCTGCAACGTGGTGTTACGTTAGCGCAGCCACCGGAGTGCCTCTGCTGTAAGCCAGCCCTCGGCGGGCAGAGCAGGGTGACACACAAACCAGCCCGAAAGGGCCAGTGTGTCACAGCGAGTCAGACGTTTAAAGGGCGAACAATAGGCATTCTCCTTTTCTGGAGTGTGGGATACACAGTGGGCCACTCTTTTTCAGGAAAAGGAGAGAATTCCCTAACCAAAAGTTTCAGCCACTGGTGAATAAATCCCTTCCTCAAATCCTCCAGCGGAAGCCTCTCACAGGAAAGCGTTAAACAAACATCCGAAAGGTGGGACAGCTCCTCCCCTGAAACACAGGCCCCACTCAAGACAGCGTGGCCGCGGCAGTCCCCAGTGGAAGGAAGACAGGGGTCCTGTGGGTGCCCTGACCATCCTGTGACCACGACAGAGTCACAGTCCAAACAACAGCCTTAGGAGACACAGCCCCACCTGCCGTCCCTGACCTCTTAGATAAGATGCTGGCAAAAAAATATTTATGACCACAGCAGACTGTAAATCTTGATTCACAAAATTTTCATTCCTTTTATTCTACTTTTAATATCAGCTTTAACTTTTAAATGTAGTTTGGGGAATTTATGGGGAAAAAATATTTAGCATCTTCAGTTAAATCATGTTTACCTTTCCACTTGGAGGAATCTCTACATTTGAAAGCTGTCCAGCACTGGGCAGTGCAGAGGGGACCCCAGGGTCGGGCTGTGGGGTGACGAAAGGGGAGAGGGGGTCCCCCACTGGCAAGAAGGAGAGGAGAGGAAAGAGAAGACCAGCGCGCGTGTCCAGCCGGGCTGCCACTGCTCACCCTCTGTCTGCCCTTTGACCCACTCATTTATGGCCTTCCTCGCGTCTTCGGAGGCCTGCTGAAAATCCACGCTGGCCAGCTCAGCGCCGTACATTTTCTGAGTTGAAGCTAAGAACTCCTGTTTAAGAAAAAAAAAAGGAAATGTGATGAATAACTCCTACTACATACAGGAATGGTTCTCTAAAATCTTTTAAAACAACAGAAACTGTCCCAAAGGATATATTTCATTGTAACCAAAAAACTCTAACCCTTTTACTTTTTTTTATTATAGTGAAAAACATAATGTTCAACTGATGATCTTAAACATTAAAAAAAACTCTTATTGAAGTGTATTGATTTACAATGTTAGTGTCAGGTGTAGAGTAAAATGATTCAGTTATACATACACATACATATGTATTTTCTCTTCTCAGATTCTCTTCCACTATACGTTATTATAAGAAACTGAATATAGTTCCCTGTGCTAAACAGTAGGTCCTTCAGATCCACAGACATAGAAAACAAATTTATGTTTACCAGTGGGGGAAGGGGGTGGGAAGGGATAGACTGGGAGTTCGAGGTTTGCAGATACTAACTACTATATATAAAATAGTTGAACAACAAGATTCTTCTGTACAGCACAGGGAACTATGTTCGATATTATAGTCACCGATAATGAAAAGAATATGAAAACAAATATGTGTATGTATATGTGTGACTGAAACTTTATGGTGTGCACCAGAAACAGACACAAAGTTGTAAACTGACCACACTTCAATAAAAATAAATAAATAAATAAATTTAAAAGGTAGGTCTTTGTTCATCAATTTTATATATAGTGACGTGTGTCTGATCATAACCATTTTTTGGTGAACAGTTTAGTCGTTTCAGTGTTGTGTAAAATTTACCAATCCTTTTCTAACCTTCGACTAACATATTTATAAACAAGCGGGTCCTGATTACACTGGGCAGTGAACCGCGGAATTCACTCTTGCTTTAGTGAAACAGCCAGGGTCGACCTTTTCCTTGTGGAGATGGAGAATGAACCCACATCCACTCGTGGGAACGCTTCATTCTGGATCGTTTTTCTGAATGTTTCTGAAAATTAAAACTGACTTCTGAGACGTGATTGTGCTGGAAAAAAAGGGCGCGCTCTGCCTGGCGAGTTTCGGAGCAGAGCACAAGTACGCACGGGGAGGAAGTCGTAGGTTTTCTCTCCGAAGAGCCTGTTAGCGACTTTCAGGGTGTAAGCAGCCCCACATTTGTTGATATCAGCATTCAGACTCTGAAATCTTGAGTGAATCTCCTCAACCTCCTTGAAATAGAGAGCCTGAAAGAAGGGAAATATTATTTCTACAACCATTTATTTTGAAATTATAAACTGATTCCTTGGCATTTGCTTCCATCAAATTAAATTAGTATATTTTTATTGCTAATTACTGATGATCCCCAGCCCAACACTTTAGTCATTTTCATTGGAGAACAAATAAGAGAAAGTCCGAAATGTACAGCTTTCGGAAACATAATTACATTAGAAACTGTTTTCACATCATTGTTTTTGTTATAACAATGGTTCCACACATATGAGTGGTTAACAGGCTAAATATTTATACAAGTCAGCTTTTTTCCAAAAAAAATCATAAATATTATGCTCACATGTATATTCTGTATCAAATACAATTTTACTGAAAATTCTCAGAAATAAACAGTAAAACAGAATCATCAGCTATGCGGGAACACAAAGAGATCAGAGTGAGGGGCTTTTCAAATTGCATTATTGGCATCAATAACTCATTTAGAAATAACTTCTCTAAACTTAACATTGGGTGATGGGTGGAGGGTACAGCTCAGTGGTAAGAGCACGTGCCTCGCACACGCAATGTCCTGGCTTCAATCCCAGCACCTCCATCAAAAAGAAAAAATTTTAAAAGACAAATCAACTTAGCACTGGGTACAAGTTTAATTCCCCATGTATCAGTTACATCAAGAGTCCCCTTTATGGTTTTATGGGGCCTGGGCTGGTTCCTTGCTTCTGAAACAAGGAGAACAAACGTCCACAGTATACAAAGTGCAGGAACTGAGCTATGGGACGTCTGTGTGGGTACGTGACCCACGTCTTTCCTGGAAATGGGGGGAAAACTTAAGACTGTTCTCTGCTGAGGTTAGAAAGTTCCTGGAAAACCTCAAAGAAGAAGCCGAGATGACCCTGCAGGGGGCAGCTCACAATTCTTAGTACCAGAGTTTTTTTTAACGTGGATTTTGAAAACTTTCAAATGCTTTTGTATCGGCCACGATAGAAAAAGTTGGTTTTCCGTAAAGTACAGACAGAAGCTCTGCAGCTGGAACGAGCCCGTCAACTTGAATCCGGGCTGGACAGTCCCTGGCTCCAGGGCAGCATAACCCGTGACCTGCCTGTTAGAAGGACCTCCACTCTGGTCCTCCTTCCAGGATGGCCAGCGTTCCCCACTCAGAGTATAGGGCACCCAGCACACCTGCGGCCTCCACACCCACCAAGGACAGAAGGGGCTTCTGCATCACTGCTCCCCTACCCCTGCAGGGCCCTCCTGCTCACCCAGGAGCCCCAGGTCACAGCCCAGCCTGCCACACTTGGTGCCAGGGCCAGGTCTAGGGACACGGGGTCACACGCTCAGTGTCCCCTCCACTTCGCCATTGTGTGTCATTATGCCCAAAAGGACGCGGCAGGCATTATGCGAGTAGCCCAGCATCACAGGCAGAGCGGAAGCTGGACAGTCCTCGAGAGCAGGAGGCGCTGTGGCTTCCAGGAAGGCCGTGCAGACTTCCTCTAGAACAGGGCTCTGTCCGCCTTCTTCACTGCTCTGCCCTCAGCCCCACCAAAGACAGCGCCTGGCACATCACAGGTGCTCACTCAAGACTGGATGGTGAATGACAGCCTGCCCCCAAGGCTATTCTTGGGGCTTTTTCTGAAAGTCTGACCTCAGGAGGGATAGCATGATGCACGATGCGGGACACAGAAAGCCAGCTCTGCACTCACTCAAAGGCGCGGCTTTCTGGGGCAGACCATGGCGGGGCTCGGCCGGGGAAGCAGGCCATTTCTGCCAGTTGCTGCTCACCTTGGACATCTGCTCCGAGGTATTGCCTCTAGTCCCCAGAAAGATCATGGCCAGCGCTGACGAAATGCTGAAGGGGGAGAAGAAGATGTTCCCCGCAGGATTGCTCTCATTCACAGTGCGGAACAGGTCCAAGGCGAAGCGGGTGTTTGCCGCGCTCAGCTGCTCCATGGTGAGGCTGCAACACAGAATAGAGCCCCAGCTGCCAGTGTCACACAGCCGTGAGCGCTGCCACGGCCACCTCCTCCTCAGCCTGGCCCAGCCCTGAAGCACCCTGCAACTTGTGTTTCCTCTCTCTCTCGCCCCCTCACCCTCTCTTCCAGGAGGCAAGAACACTGCTGTGGGGACCACAGACATCTGGCAGATTCCTGCTGCAAGTCCCCTCCAGCATCCAGTTGCTGCCTTTTAAAGATAACAGAGAACATTCCTTTCTTAATACCCACCTGCCCGAGCTGAACTAACTAGACAAAGATTGAACTGACAAGGCCCCGCAGCCAGACCACCAGGCCCCGCGGCCAGACCGCCAGGACCTGCCGCAGCACCCCCCCCCCCGCCCAGAGTCTGGCAGCTCTGCCTTCTCACGACCCCTCCTTTCCCTGCTTCCTCAGCACCCACCAATCAGTTTTGTGCACGAGCTGATCACACACCCTGCGACCCCTCTGTGCCCAATGCCACGCAAGCACACGGAATTAAAGGTAACCGTCCCTAAAAAAGACCTCAGCAACCCCGCCTCGGGGCTCACCTCCCGTCTGTGGGGCCTGCTGTTGCCTACGGCAGAGTACCCTCATAAACTGCTTTCCTGTTTTCACCCTTCGTCTTTGGGAAATTCTCTGCCGCCCGCGCACTGCCCCACCGGACCCACGACAGCTGTCCCCATGCACAAATGTGGCAGCTAGGATTCAGCAGTGACAGCGGACCAGGACCCTGTGCCCTGAAGACTGGGGGGCCTGCGGGACCCTCCCTGCTGCTCCGGGAGCACGCACACTTCCACCCTCCCATTCAAGTCTCTGACTCCTCTGGGCCATGAATCCACTGCCCACATTTACCTGAAAAAGGATGTTTCTGTTAGAAAATCAGAGCTACCTGCTCCCCATTAAAGCCAATTCCAACGAAGCAGATAAAATTACCCTCATTTTTATGACTCACTGGGTAATGTTCAGCGAGGTTAAGTGTCCAGAGTCCCACAGCTGGTGCGGGGTATGAAGGCTGGGAAACCCAGCACGGTTCCCGGGGACAAGACGCCGCTCAGCAGGGTGCCTGCAGGTGACGCCGGGCTCTGCTCAGCCCCCCGCTGTCCCCACCTGATCCCTACTCTCAGGGCACGTTTCCCCTCACTCAGGCCACGAAGAGTAACGGTCGTGCCCGCTGCCCCGCGTGAAAGCAACACGCTCAGTTATTACTGTTGCTGCTGGTAAGCAATCTCCAGGGCGGCGCGGCCTCCGCTCCCTGCCTCCCGCGCAGAGCGGGGAAGCGGCTCCTCCGGGCCGCGCCGAGGCTGCCTGGAAACCGGAGCGAACTCCGGCAGGAAGGGAGAGAGAAAACGTCCAAACTTAGACATCGCTTCCGCCTTCGGGCCGCCAGAGAGCCACCTCCTTCCGCGGCAGGATGCCGGGCCTAGCGCTCTCCACCGGCGCTGGGAGCCTCGGGGAAGGGCGCACGGC